AAAGTCTCATGGAGGGCTGGGAATGTGGCTTAGTGATAGAGTGCTAGCCTAGCATTCATGAAGCCCTGGGTTGGATTCCTCAGTACGATATAAACAGAAAAACCTGGATGTGGTGCTATAGCTCAAGTGCTAGTGTGCTAGCCTTGAGCATAAAAAACTTATGGATGTGCCCAGGCCCTGAGTTCAAACCCCAGGACTGGCAAAAAAAAAAAAAAAAGGTTATGGGTTTTCCTGCTGGCTTGGAACCATGATCCTCAGATCTCAGCCTCCTGAATAGTTAGGATTATAGGCATGAGCCATGGGTGCATGGCTGCACTTCTTTGCTTTTTTTGTTAGTCATTGGGCTTGAACTCTGGGCCTGGGCCCTGTCCCTTAGCTCTTTAGCTGAAGGCTAGCGCTCTACCACTTGAGCCACAGCACCACTTCTGGTTTTCTGGTGGTTAACTAGAGTCCCATAGACTTTCTTGCCTGGGCTGGCTTTGAACCTTGATCCTCAGATCTCAGCCTCTGGAGTAGCTAGATGACAGGCACTGGGCTTTCACTTATTTCTTGAGACAGGGTTTTTTTTTTTTTTAATGTTGATCAGGCTGGCCCAGAACACATAATCTTCTTACCTTAACATCCTGAGTTCCATTTTAGAACCAATGATTTGAAATAGCTAAGGCATATTGGTTAACAATGTACCAGATACTTTAGTTAGTTAGTACTGATATTATTGCTATTATCACTAATTTTTTTTTTGCATTATTGAGAATTGACCTCAGTACTTTGCAGCAAGCACTGTACCAGTTGAGGTACATGATTTTGAGGTAGGGTTACCCTAATTTTATCTATGCTGGTCTTAAATGTGTGATTTTGTCTCTCTTGTCCCTGTCTCGAGTGGGTGTGATTACAGGCATTACCAAGCCTGGCTCATATTTAATCATTTTTCTTCCTGATGTGCTGTGGATCAAGTCCAAAGACCTTATGCATGCTAGGCACAAGCTAGATGAGCTATAAGCACAAGTGTATAACAAAGTAGGTCGAATCACAAAACCTACTTAATAGATGTTGACCCTGACCAAGTCACATGGCTGCCAAATGATAGAATTTAAATCTTTCGTTGAGTCCTTAGGCTTACCTGCCAGTCTCTGCTGTCTCCTAGGTTCCTCGAACTTAGAACCTTCTGCTTCAGCTCTATGAGTGCTGGGATTACAAACCTATGCTACCCATACCAGGCTCTCATCATGGAAAAAAAAATCATATTCAGCAGGGTGTCAGTGATTTATGCTTGTAATCCTAGTCACTCAAGAGGCTGAGATATGAGTATCTCAGTTCAAAGCCAGCCTGGGAAGAAAAGTCTTTGAGACTCTTGTTTCCAATAAATCACCAAAAAGACCAGAAATAGAGCGTGGCTCAAGTGGTAGAATGTTAGCCTGGCACAAAATAGCTCAAGGACAGTGCCCTAAGTTCAAGCCTCAAGCTGACCTGGAGCCAAAAAAGAAAGAAAAAGAAAAAGAAAGAAAAGAAGGAAGGAAGGAAGGAAGGAAGGAAGGAAGGAAGGAAGGGAGAGAGGGAGGGATGGAAAGTGAGAGGGAGGGAGGGAGGAAGGAAGGAAGGAAGGAAGGAAAAAAGGAAAGGAGGGAGGGAGGGAGGGAGTGAGGGAGCGAGGGAGGAAGGGAGGAAGGGAGGAAGGAAGGAAGGAAGGAACAGAAGATCAAATGCTAGGAAGAAGTGCCAAGTAACTGGGCTTCCATTACAGCAGATTCTTCCTTCCTGAGGAGGTCCATCTGCCGCTCGGCTCATAGGATCTCCCCCAAGTTAGCTTCTATGCACTGCTTAAACCTCATCTCATGAGTTCAGTCTTTCCTTTTTACTCATTTGGGGCTCATAAAGGATATCTTGTTTGGTTTGGAGATCCAAGTTTGTAGATTAGTAGTAAGTGCAAACACACTGTGTGTGTGCTTGTGTGTGTGTGTGCACATACATGTGCATGTGTGACCACTACTGGAGTTTGAACTCATAGTCTGGGCATTATTCCTCAGCTTTTTTGTTCAAAGCAAAACCAGCTTTTTGCTGCATACTTGGAGATAAGAGTCTCAGGGACTTTCCTGCCTGGGTGGCTGACTTTAATTGGCCATCCTCCCATCTCAGCCTTCTGAATACAGGAGTGAGCCACTGGTACTTGTCTCAGGTATTTTATTTTATTTTTGCCACAGGAGTAGGTATGTCTGGATACTGCTAAAGACACAGGCTGAATCGTCTGCAAAACTAAGTTTAGCTTTTCTGTAAAGTCAGTCTTCAGAAAACCGTGTAAGCAACCTCCCATAAGGAGACCAAGTTTCCAGGTGTTGTCCACATTTCTTTCCTTTGTCTTTCTTTATGATAAATGTGGGTCTATTATTAAAAACAACTAAATCTTCCCCGAAAGCTCATCTTGTTCTTACCCTCTACACATGTATTCATTTTGTAACAGCTTTAGGATAAAGAGGCACTGTCCTGGGCTTGGCAGAGTGACAAATGCCTATAATCCCAACACTTAAGAGGTTGAGGCCAGAAGGAACTCAAATTGGAGAACAGCCCAGGCAATTTAGTGGGACCCTCATCTCAAAATATTTTACAAGTAGGGTTTGAGATGGTGGTGTACGAAATGGTAATGGCCCTTTCTTCAGTCTGGGCTGTGGAGTAACTGACCTTATCCATTTGCCTGCTTTTGGGGGGGGGGTAAGGGGAGGGAAGAACTGGACTTGAAGAGGTCAGAACTTATCCATATGGGCAATTGCAATCTTGAACTCAGGACCTGGGCACTATATCTCAGAGCTTCTTTTGCTCAAGGCTAGCTGTCTACAACTTGAGCCACAGCACCACTTCCGGCTTTTTCTGTGTATATGGTACCGAGGGCTTCATGCATGCTAGGCAAGCACTCTACCACTAAGCCACCTTCCCAGCCCCAGTCATAGGTTCTTATTCTCTTCATTGTAGAAAGTTTGTCCTCTGGTTTGCACAGCAGAACTGCCTTTCCACTCACCTGACTTCCTATTCAAGTGCTTCCCAGATTTGTTACATTATCTTTCGCACTTTTCTCCTTACAGTTATTTTATATTTAAGGCACTAACTAGCCTGGTCTCTAACCTGGCACTAACTAATCTGGGGCCCAGTAGATCAGCCTCCTAAAGAAATAGCCTAAAATGTCTTCAGGTCTTGGGTAGATTCCAAACATATTTGAAGGCTTCTTTGGTGAGAATGTCACCTGTTTGGGGGACGGGCAAAAAGCATGCACGTGATAGGTAAAGTCCATCTGGGTCTAGCCCTTCTGCTGTGATTCCCCCCCCCCAATTTTTCTTTTCTTTCTTTTTTTTGGGTCAGTCGTGGGGCCTGAACTCTGGGCCTGGGCGCTGTCCCTCAGCTCTTCAGCTCAAGGCTAGGGCTCGACCGCTTGAGCCACAGCGCCACTTCCGGTTTTCTGGTCTCATGGACTTTCCTGCCAGGGCTGGCTTTGAACCGTGATCCTCAGATCTCAGCCTCCTGAGTAGCTGGGATGACAGGCGTGAGGCACGGGCGCCTGGCTGCAGTTTTTCTTTTTAAAGTAGTAGGTATTCTCCTTCTATAATTCTTTTCTTTTTTTTTTTTGAAGACCTAAAAGTAGAGTGAATTTGGGCTCTGAACTGCGCCCTTTGGGAAGGCGACGGGCGCGGGGTCTCGTTCCCGAAAACCCGAGCGCAGCGTACCCTCTGCCCGGTGGGCTCCGCGGGGCTCGCATGACCGGCTGTTCAAACCCCGGGCGGCAGGGCGGTCCCCACAGGCGCCCCACCGCTGCCACCTGCGCCCTGACTGCGCCGGGCCGGAGCAGCTCCGAGGCTCCGACCCGGGGTTCCAGTCGGTCCTAGGCGTCAGAACCCGGCCCAAACACCTTCCTCCCGTAACTATCCACCGACCGAAAATAGGTTCCGAGTCCGCCCCTCGGCCCCCCCTTAAAATAAATCCTCCCCTTTAAAGGGAGCCACCGGGTGTCGCCGGGGGAGTTTGCGGAAGCGCCAACCGCGTTGGGGCCTTGGGCGGATCCCGTGATTGGAGGCGGCCCCGCCCCCGGCGCCGCTTCCCCCATTGTGTGCGCGGCGCTGCTGAGGCCACGCCCCCGCCCCGCCCTCCAGAGCCCAGCCCCGCCCCCTCCGCACCCCCCTTGGCTCATTTCCGGCCGCCGCCGCTACCGCTAGCCTGTAAGGAGGATTCGGCAGAGGGAAGAAACAACAGCCGCCATCTTGTTTGTGTGCTAGGGCTGGGGGGGAGCGAGGGCGATAGGGAGCGGGCGAGAGTGGGCAAGCGGGACGCCGGGCTGAGTGCGAACTGCGGGAGCCGGGAGTGCGGGAGGAAGTCGGGCCGGGGAGCGGCGGCCGGGG